TTATTTCTCTCTTTTATCAAGCTGAAGTTTTTGAGAATTCCAAACTTTTGATATGACTTAACTTGCACATCGTCAAAAACAACTTCAATTGCATAACGTAGTTACGTACTCCTTCACAATCGAACCAAAATATCTTAAATATAATTATCAGCGCAGGTGTAGTAACCAAGGCAACGGAGGGAATGTTCTACAGACAAAATGGCTTTATTGGGGTAGGGTGTGAAAGTAGGGGCTGGCGTTTTCTTGGTTTATAGCCACATAGTGACAAAAACCGTTTGTTCTCTGGAGAGCTAGACTAAAAGGTTAGAGTTCGTAGCTATGCATAGACAGTGAAAAACACTGAACCATGCAGGTGATGATTTTGACGCCGCGACAGCGTACTCGACTAAAATGGTGGTTAATTGTTTTTTAAGTGTATTTGTCATTTCGTGTTTCTGAACGGATTCCAATGCTCTTAAAGCTGTCTTCAAACAGTCTAATTAGATCGCATTTGGCTGAGTGTGTTTTAATTAGAAGAACAGAAACTTTTACCTGTTGAAGGCATTGTATTAATTAGCCAAATGTTAGTACCTAAGGCAGTTTTTCTGGCAGACAAACGAATTTAAATTCAAGAATGCGTGAAGTGAAGGCCTCTGAAACGCCACAAGCCATGACTTGATCAATGCTCAAAGTGGAATTCGATTGGCTGTGAATATTGTCGGCATAAAGAAAAGAATGAGCACTGAAAAGATCAGTTTTACAAGCCAAGTAATTTCAAAGTTTGCAGGCGTGAAGCTGGTCGTTTTGAAATACACCGGCACTGACAGCTCTCTTAACTATTTTAGCTCGGTTTTCGATCATGAACAAAGACAAGGGCAAGAAACAGACTCAAAGCAACCCCGCTGATGGGGCAAGTTTTGAAAAGGCCATGAACGATGCATTCAGTCAAATATTTCAGAATCTCAAGGAGATCAAGGAGGACACTAAAAAGCAACGAGAGAAAATAGTTGATCTCGAGAGAAGGAGAGGTAGCGCCCCAGCTTTGTTAAGACGACCGACGGAATCTTTGCAAGAACCAAAGAAACAAGTTGAATTCGACAGGTCATTGTCTTCGCCTTTTCACGATTGAGTCAGCTTTTTAAAGGGTTTCCGAGATGAATAAGGACACAGAAACAATGGGTATCAACTCGTGAGGTTTTCGATGACAGCAGAAATTAACTTGAGGTTGTATCAAGTTGAATCTTAGCCATGACAGGGAAGAAATCATAGGAAGGTAAAAAACACCCTGATGTTGAGCTAATTCTCGCCGGAACGATAGGGCGGTTTTCAAAATGGACTGCCACCGCCATTAAATCAAGGCCACCGATTCATGCAAACCCTTGAACTGCAGATCGTTCGAAGTTTCAGGGCGCAGCTTTACAGAGGGCGCAGATCTACGGCGAAATATCTTCCGTGTGAATAACGCCAAGCTTTCAATGGCGTAAAAGGTTTACCTTCCGACGACAATTTACCTTAGGGCAATGAAGGACTAATAAACAACCTCGCGTCATGATATAAACAACTTGAAATAATCTCGCCCTAGTTTAAGTGGTCGTTTTAGCATTTCATCATCCTATTGCTACATTTTCGTAAGTTTTTTTCCAATTTGATGATAACTTGAGCAGTTTTCGCTAAAAGGGGTAAGTTTCTAAAGAAAGTGTGTTGCTGCGTCGGTGGAGTATTACAAGATAATTTGGTTTCAAAAACTGAGTTTATGATGTAATGATATTATGAAGCTGACGTCTCGAACGTTAGCCACCTTCTTCAGAGAGAAAGGGTTAAGCTCTGTGTACATAAGATAACTGTTTTACCATCAGAAATGGGACTTTGTATCCGCTCTCGAGAGCGTACTTAACTTTAAAAGTGACCCACAATACTAGCTTAGCAGGACACATTAATCTTCGTTAATCTTGCTTAATCTTCGTTTTCTATGAGTTGAAAACCAGGTAATGTTAAAAGGTATTTTGGCCAAGAGAATAATAAGATGCTTTTGACTGAAAGCACTTCGCCAGACTATAAGGATTCGAACGCATTGCTCTGTTCTGTAAATCACAGAGTTATTTTCTTTAGAAAAGTGTCAATATTGGTATGATTATCGAGTACACGAGATTGAAAGAAAACCTACCAAGCGAAACCTACACAGCGAAATTAACCAGATTTAGATCGCGTGCAGATATGGTGACCTGACCCAGGATATATATATTTGTGAACACTTTGGTCAAACTGTACCCATAACTCTTTACAATTTCCGTGAGCAATATCAAAGCTGTAACTTCTAATGAAAACGTTACTGAAAATCGAATAAAAACATGAAATAACTATGTTCAATAATGGTTAAATTGGTGTACGCGCTAATTTATGTAGAGAGAAGGAAATTAATTATCTTTTTTAGAAAATGAAAAGAAGTTATTTCTAACTAGACAAAGGAGGTGGGTTTCTGTTTACTTTCGGGGGCGACAAGGCATAGAACAGGCCAAGCGCGAAACCAAAAAACTGATAGATCTGGAAACATCAAAGAATTCGTGTTATTACCTCTTCGTTAGCTTTATTGTATAGTTTGTCTTTTGCCACAGGCGTCCACCATCTTTTGTAGTTTAATGAACTAATATAATTATTGACTGCCCAGGCGCCGGATGAGCTATGATTCTCGGCATTAATTGCTGTAGAACTGGGATCCTGAATGATATCAATTTTACAAGACTTATGTGCAAGTTATCTGTCTATAAGAACTAGGATGGGTTCGCGAATTAGAGAACAAATTTTTCACAGATTCAGGAATTTCGAAGTCTGCTTGTAGTTTCATGAGAACAGTAATTAAACCTCCAATCAATCAAGCGAGCTCATTAAGGGTTGAGGCGGCGTATGCAGAAGAAAGGTCAAACCACGGTGCGAACCGTGCGATCGGTAAGCGAGTCGGCACAATAGACGTTGGAGATTAATTCTGAGGGGGGAGGGGACCGTTCGTGTGTATTTTAAGTGTACCGCCGGATCTCCAAATTTGGACCCCGTTTTAGAAAGAAACTGCGATCGAAACGATACTTCGTTCGAAACACGAGTCTGGAAACTTAGTTCATTTCAAGAGCGTCATCAAATGTGTAGGTACACGACAACTACAACAAAATAGCTTTCTGCCGTGTTCACAGTAGTTTGTTTGGTAGCGTATTTTGTTTTGTAAGTTCTCTTAAAGTAAGTATAAACAACCGCTGGTGATATGGACCTTTTGCGCATTTAAAACCAAGCCTTGCTCCAGGAGACCTTTCTTAGCAAGGACCGAGCTAGTAAGTATTTTAAAAGGAGAGTTCACGGTTACGAATTTCCACACGCCTTACATTGCACGCAAAGAGGCTTTTTCGGCACGTGCTCAGGCGTAGAAAATTAAGGACCAGCAAAATAGGGTATGAAAGGCACACTATCCCCCCAAAGGGAGAGCCTTGCCCCCCACCCCCACCCCCTAGCTAGAAATATTTGCAACGTAAGGCTTTGCAAAATATTTCATTCCTTTTTCTTTATTTCTCATAGCATTCATGTGAAGTTTATTCGCAAGGGAAGCGTCAAGTAGATCTTATTTTGATCTCACACTGGGAGCCCACTCATATCTGCCTTAATGAAGGACCATGCCAGATAAATTTCCAATTACTTTTCACCTGATCTCTGCACATGTCGGAGCATGTTTATACCGAGATTAGTGCTGATTCACTGACTCGTTTAATTCATTTTATTTTGTCTTCCTTATGCCGTGTGCGACTGAAAAATAACCCAGCATTCAGATGCTTTCGTAAGGGAGGAAAATAAAAGCATACTGCGAAATCAGAAGCAAGATTTGGAAAGGAAAAAATATATATGTGTCATTAATATAGGAAGTCTGCGTTTCGATTTTTCCGTACTACAGTACTCGATACATAAAAGTAGAGCGCGATATGTGTTGAGTTAGAAAAATACAACGACCACGCTTTCATCGAGCCTTACAAGTCTGTTTCGTGATTGCTCACTCATCCGGGGATTTTCATAAAAAATAAAAAAAATAAAAAAAAAAAGTCGTTGTATTTTTCTAAATCAACATCTATGTATACAATATGTTAAAAAAAAAACTGCATGCTCGAGTTTCATTCCTGTCATGCATGTACTCGTTGCCTCCAAGCGTAAGCGAGCTGCCAGTTCTGATTCTGACAATTACGGATGTGCGGATCGAAAGCATGCGCATGGGCATTAAATGGCTACTCTTTTCATCCCATGATACGGGATCTCAACATCTGTGATGACATCTATGTAGGCATACACGGAAACAGAAGTCTCAACTCATCATGAGAAATCATTTACAGAATTCTTCGTTTCTTTACCTCGAGCAATCGTCATATCCTATTTTCGCTGACGCTGAATCACATGGTCGACTTTCCCCTTCCCGTCATACACAGTTGCCATGTTCATAAATCATCGTTCTCAGTTTCAGGTCTATTATAATACAACTTAGTGAAATTCAACAGGTCTAGTTTACTTTTCCTCCTTCCAGCATTTTTCCCTTGTGTTCTATGCTCATAATTCTGCTCAACGTCTTGGAAAAGTTAAAAAGACCGAAGTAAGAGCTCCACTATTTTGATCGTGGATTTTTTTTTTCTCGTGATTATTCTCGTGATCAGCGAGTTTCGACTTCTTCTTAACTTTTCTTAATCCACCCTGGGAACGAGATTGTCCACCCGGCTGAGTATTTTTATGATTTATGATTTACACTGAATATTTTATGCAACTATTGCTTCGCTGTCGTTATTTTCCTTGAAGCAGTAATCGTCAAAAAGACCGGAGGTATATTGATTTAAAAATCCTAGCCTGACGTCGATTTTTCCTTGAAGATAAAATGATGATTTTGGCGGGCGAAAAAACATGATGTAAGCCGAAGCGTGATTACTGTTTGGTTATCGCGTGTAGTGCACACAGCAGGTAGGTCATGTGCGTAGCAGAAATTAAGCAGACATAGTAAGGTGTGTGAGTACAATCAGCATTATAAAAACTAAAAGAAGAGCTTGAGAGTCACAATCTTTAGTGGAAGGGGCAGCGAAAGAATTCAGTGAAAAGGTAAGTCGCAGTTGTTTTTTCTATGATAACAATTTCTGACCCTAGTTGATCAACGAATTAACCGGCATTTCGGTCGCGTCAGTGAAGTAGCAGAGTCAGCGTTCGTATGTTTGTTTATGTTTCAACTTTTTTTTCTCTAGTTGTAAACAACGTCAGTTGTTAATTCAATCGACCTTTCTTTTTACTACTCTCGTCTGTAGACGAACGACATCCTACCTACGTTGAGGAACGAAAACAAACGCTTTTGAAAGAAGAGGCCATGTTTCAAGATGGAATATCAAAGTGTGTGACGACAGAAACAGATTTGAACAATAAATTTGAAAAACCAGAAAAAATGGAACTCGAGCGAAGAAGAAGAGTTAGTGCACCAGCCAAACCGTACGGAGGTTCACAAATGCCGGATCACAAATTAGAACAAACATTTTATGAAGGCGGAAAGAAGCTTTCTCAGTCAGCTTTGTTCATTTCGCCATCATGGCAGAGTTTTGAGGGAGAGGATGTCGACGGTGACCCACTGCACACAAGTTGGGACTACATCAAAGAGATGATGAAGGACAGCAAAAAAGCAGAGAGAATTAAGCTTTTGAAAACACAACAAGTCAGTGGTTCCGTCAAGGCACTCAGTCCAGAAACTACAGCAGAAACAAAGACGACTTTAAAGCAACTTAGGAAGGAGATATCGAGGAGATTTTCCCGTGCAAGAGCAGACTCAACAGGCTCTTTGTTACCTTGGATGGATTGTAACGACTGGAAGGAGCCTTCGGAAGATTTCATTCCAGTTGAATTTAATCTTGGCTTCTTGGATGACTATATGTAAGGTGTTAGATGGTAATTTATTGTGAATTTATAGCTGTTGTCGATGATCCAAAATGTCCATGTAGAACCGCAGCCAGATCGGTTAGTGTAGGGTCCCTTTTGGCCATGGCGAGACCATGCTTCAGTTTTTCAAAAGCAAGATATATAATGCTTTTTGTACGCGCCGATCGGCCAGTTCCGAATACATTAGTAAACAATTTTCACTTCCACCGAGCAGTCGAACAGACTGAATTGCCCATCAAAAGTTGAATTTCCGTCCGGCCCTCCCACTCAGTCACCATCTACACAATCCCGCTGCTAGCGTAAAGTTCCTATTCAAAACATGTATTTCTACACATTTAAATGTAATGCACAGATACGTTAAATTCAAACACATTTCGTGGTTTTAGTTGCTTTGGAAAACAAAATTGTCATTAAAGTTACACTGTAGCACGTATGCACCATGCTATGACATCACACGACTCTTGCTTCGTCTAATATGAATCATTTGTAATCATATCACGTGACAAACGAGTAGAGTTGTTTTCATCACAAAACTTTGTTTACGACAAGGTTGTTAGTTGGCTGCATTCAGTTTCACTATTTGGTAAACTAATTTGGCAGACTCATGTTAAATTCACGCTGCATAGCAATTCGAAAACATAAGAGTTCTCTAAGTCACAAAATTTCGAAAAGCCGCAACGAAGTAGTACAAATTATTTACTGTTATGGTACAGATTATTTGTGACTTAGCGCTCACATTAAGTGATTTATAGGTTTGAGAGAAGGCAAAAGAAAAATGTCGTCAACGTTACACCCGAATCACAGGGAATTAAAAAGTAATGAAAAACCTGTTAGACTAGTTTGGTGAAGTATTTTAAAATATGGCTTTTGTTTGCATGCTCTTACATTTGTTTGTGAACAATATCGAAAATGTAAAATGTAAACTATGGTCCTCAAGTTATTGGCTTCGAGTTTTATAAAGACAGAGGTTAAGGAAAAACAATATTAGTTACTGAACTCATTGGAAAATGCGATAAAAGTTTAGTCAATTATTCCTTAAGAACTTGTTGATTAATATTTGTACTATAAACTTTCAGAAAATTTAATCACTTGATATTCGCTTTACCGGCCATTCATGTCAGAGAGAGCTTTAATCGGAAAGTTTGGTCGCGTGGCAAGCACTCTTGTAGAGGAGGGGGGGGGGCAGGGGATGATAGTCTTCAAGCATACGACGAACAAACCGTACGTCTCACACGACTAGATGAATAGCGTGAGACATCCTCGACGAACACGCGTCTTACCCTTTTCGAAAAGCAAATTTTATCTCCACCCCAGCCCCATTCTTTTAAAACAGACGGGACCAATTTGACAAGAAAGTTTGAAGACTGCTCAAACTAAGAAGTTATTCCGCATTGAAAAGGTATCTTACAAGCATAAAATCTAAGATAAATTTTTATATTTAAAAGCGTCATTAATATATAGTCGCCACACGCTCCAATAAAAGTGACGAAAGCGTGATTCGGTGAAAATTAAAAGCAACAAAATTCCAAGAAAACTAAAATTTCTTATCTAAAAAAGTCATTGGCTACATCGGTTATATCGCACAACATGTCTTATTCTTGAAGGTTCAAAAGTGACCGTGAGATAAATGTTATATATGTATGAGCGATCAAGCGACACCTAGTCCGGTAGATGATATTTGTCGTGTGAGGGGCTCTACAGATCATTAAATACCATAATTACGCGCAGATATTGATATTCCAAAATGTAATTTTTAAAACGAACGTATCATGAATCAAACTATAAACTCATCCATATCATCAAAAATACGTCTGTTCCCATTTGAAATTCAAGGCGAGTAGTCCGCTAAGTTTCAGGAGTTTCGTAATTGGGAATATTCTGATTGGGTTTCTCTAAATATTCCTTGTAATGAAGCCTGAAAAAGTTTCACAGCGGAGGCGCAAAAATGGAGGGAATTTTGAAGAATTCATGGAAGAAGCGTTGAGTGAAATTTCACAAAATCTGAGAGAAATCGAAGAGGAAGATGTAAAGCAAAAGCAGAAAGTTGATATTAAGCGAAGAAGAAGGATTAGTGCACCGGCTACATCGTTTGGAGGACTTGAAACGTCGGAAAAAGATGTGGAACTCAATTTCCCTAAACGGAAAAACACTCAACCATCTTCAATTATCGCTTGGCCCGAGTTGCAAAGCGTGGAGGAAGAAAATGATGAGAATGAAGAAAACGAAGTCTTAAAAGAAGAAACAACTGAGGGAAATAATAAAAAGGAGCTAAAGGTGAATGAAAACTTCCTAATAAGACGACGAGTCAGCGCTCCAGCCAAAACATTCACAGAAACCGCAGACACTTCAACTTTTAAGCAACTCAGAAAAGATATTGGCAGGAAATTGTCAAGGACGAGATCGGATCCAACGTTTTCAACTTTGCCTTGGTTGGACTGGATTGATGAAGAACCAGATCTAAACTTTGAACCAGTTGAGTTTAATTTAGACTTCCTTGAAGCGTTGAGCAGGGGGTAATGGAAACTTCAGCGCAAAGAAGGTGATTTATTACACCACTTTCATCGATCGATTACATAAGATAGAAACCATTTGTAGGTAAAGAGCAATTTTTATTTCAGTTTTGGTAAATTTACAACTACCACGTTAGATTTTGTTCTCGAGTGTAATACACTAAAATAAATCATAATTGTCGGTCACCTCTGCAAAATTTTCGGAACACAACATTAGCCAATATTTTGACTTAATGATAACAATAAAAAAAAAAACTCCTTTGAAAGGCCAGAGTTTTAATCCAAGCTGGATGTTCCGACTCTTCACTCGGCACAGAAGTCAATGTACAAAACTGATATTTAATCTAAGTAGAACATCGAACAATTTTTCCGAAAAGGTTTAAATTCTAGTCAGTTGTTGTATCATTAGCGCGAATTTGATAGAGAACTGCAATCAAATATTCTTTACTTAAACAGTGACGTCATTTGGACGTTTTACGTAACTTTAATTTTCCTGGTGCCGTAGTCATTAAATTTACGATCGAAAGTTACAGCAGATATCAAACTCTCAGTCGCCAATATTGAGTGGTTTAAAAAAGCTATTATCTTTGATATTGAAAGAATTAGCCAGGATCGATATCAACAGGATTTTTCTCAGTTAAATTGCACGTGGGATTAAACTATTAAAATAAAAAACAATAACTTATAAAAGCTTTAAAAATATATATATATACATATGTTTAGTCTCAGTGCACTGAAGTCACGACATTTCCGGATTTTCATTTAATGGTAACTTCTAAAATAAAAGGAAATGAGCCACAGCATTTTTGCAATACTGTTTGTTTGTTTTCTGTTATGAGTGGATCATTTGGAAATCATATCGCTTGAGAGGGATTGGTCCTCAGGCCCCAGTTGTTCACAGGACGGTTAGCATTACTACTGACTTAGTGGACAGTGCAGTACATTTTGTTAACACTTATGTCCGCTGGATACATACATACATACATACATACATATGTTAATTGACCACTCCCCATGGGGGCTTTTCAGAGACAATTCACACCCAGCAACCACCCCGAGGGAGGACATCCATCACACAGTAATCTCGTGCATGGGAAATTAACGTCTCCTACCCCTAACCCTGCAGGAGACGGGACCTCCATTTATTCGTCCCTATCCGAGAAGACCAGAGTATCTAACCATTTCTTAATAGAAAGGTAGCATATTTTCTCACTTCTTTTAAGACCTTGAGTATTGGTCCGGCCGGGGCTCGAACCCTCGACCTCCCGCACAACAGTCCAGCGCTCTATCCATTGATCTAACTGGGAGGCGGATAATGATGTATTCTTCGATTAGCACTATCTGCCCTTTAAAAAATGATGAGGCTTAATTCGAATCGTCGAATCACTTAACTCTGGTTTTCAATGCTTTTACTATTACTCCCTAAGAATTATTCTTTCCTTTGATTAACCCCTCAACTTCTGAGTGTAACTGGAATCTAATTTCTCCCTTACGATTTCACGTCTGTATCGGATACTAGCGTCACGAGAATAAAGAAAATAACCAAAATCTAAAAAAGCACTTGATTGTTAGACTAATTCTCCCTGTCAAGACCTTAGGTAATGTATAGAGAACAGTTTGGAGAATATGCAGAGAATATGTTACATGGTGCAAAGGTTTAATGATGCGGGGTTCAGATTAAATGCGAAAGGTCCCGGTTTTTTCTCTCTTGAATTATTTACCGTGGACATTTCAGGTTTGCCATTGATAAATTTGCTTTTAACATTATCCAACCTTAATCCCACTTCTCCAGGTGTTTGATTAATCTATCAAAACAATATTTCGATGCTTTATTACCCTGGTTTAATGCATTTCACTATCCGGCGCTCAGAATGACTCAGACCTACATATCGTGACGGATAGTTCCTTTAAGGTTGTCACAAATGATCATTAATTACTACCGACAATGAAATTTAAACAAAAATAGACACAAACCCAGCTCTCAAAAGACTTCGTCTTAATATATGCTGGACTGGATGAATGCATGCATATCGTCGGATTGACAGATTAACTCCAACAGTAAATTACAGTCAGGAATTTATGACGACATCAAACAGCTGAAATGAACAGTCTCATTTCGAAAACTTTTTAATCCATAAATCAGTTATGTAAGGAACCAGAAAAAAAACTCCTTGTTCACAGTTGCCTCCTATATTTTTCAGTCTGAGTGAAAATGCTATTGGCGGATTGCAGGAAGTACAGTTTTCTGTGTGCTGTTGGCCCCACGCGTCATATATATATCTTTAGTATAATTTCAGAGCTGAGCAAAGAGTTTCCAGCAATCTGATTGGTTGAGCGGTTCCTTATATGACGCTATATAAACCGCTCCATGCGGTTTATATAAAATGTTAAAATAAAAAGTTAATAAATGTTACTAAAATGTTATGATTTTAGAAATTTCTCTGTTGTTCAGCTCTGAAACTATACTAAAACAATTATTCGCCTCAGGTTCGGTGAATATTGTCGAATAATCCCCTCGACTTCGTCTCGGGGATTATTCGACGATATTCACCTCGCCTTCGGCGAATACTTGTTAAATATACTAAAACCAATGAAAAGCGAAAGTCCCCTTTTTCTTTGCTTTTGTAGGAAAGGGAAAACTTAAAAGTTGGAAATCTTAGAAATCTCTTAAAGCTGGTGTTTACGGCGGAGAACAATTTATCAATGAAATCTTTAGACGTCGCCAAAGACTCTTTATGTGAAATCCACCAAAGTTGTTCTTAGTACAAATTAATTGCTTCAAGGAACACCTTTCTTTTGAGCAGAAAATTGTTTAAATCGATAGTTGTAAATATACTTTGAGAGAGACATTCTTTAATTTTGCTTTGGAATTTTCCGTCAGTTACAGTTTCAGCGTTGTATATCTGTCCCTCACTCATTCATCTAGTGCACTGCAGCAAATTAAGACTTCTGACGTGAAATCCACAAAGGTCGGACAGGCAGGTTCACCGACTTGGCTCAAATTTGCTATAACTTGGTTGGGGGTTCTGATCACGAAATGGTTATGTTAAGATTGACGTTTATTTTGCTCACGACCACTTGGAGCCCCATTGGTCACATGGAAACGAGGCTAGCCAAAAGGAATTCTTGAGCGCCTGGGTTTCATTTGCTTTCTCACTTGATATCTTTTTTTTTTATTAAGCAGGTCTGCAAGTCTGTGTTTGAAATGGTAAATATCGTCGAGAAATATAAAGGGAAGGGCTAAAAAACGCCATTCGATTTACTCAGTTTAGGTATTTTAAGATCCCTAAAAAAAGCCTTTAGTTCAGAAGCTTGTAGCACCAGTGGTAAGTCGAGTTAGAAAAATTCGTCAGTTTCTAAAAAAGAAACATCTGTAATAGGTTATTTGCTGTAGAAGAGTGTGCAGTTTTAATGCAACCTCGTTCCCAGGCCCTTTTCCCTTGGTTTTAATGCGCTCCCACACCGCCCAGAAGAATATTGGTTGTCACAAAACATTTTTTACTTGTCGCCAAATACTCCTTAATCAAAATCCTCTTTAATTGTCGCCAAACTCTCCTTAATTGTTACCAAACATT